TCTCCCTTGCTGCCTTTAAGATTCTCTCTTTGTTTTGGAATTTTGCCATTTTGATGATGATGTGTCTTGAAGTGGCCTCCTTGTGTTCCTCTTGATTGGGACTCTGTGTGAATCCTGGATTTGTGTGACTTTTTCTCTCATCAAATTAGGAAAGTTTTCTCATTACTCTTTTAAATATGTTTTCTATCCCTTGTTCTTCTTCGTCTCCTTCTGGTATTCCTATTATTTGGATATTTTTATGTTTCATATTGTCTTGCATTTCTCTTAATCCCTCTCCATTCTTTCTGAGCCTCTTCTCATTTTCTTGCTCTTTCTGTGAGATGCTTTCTACTATTCCTCCAACTTGCTAATCAGATCCCCTGCTTTATCTATCCTACTTTTGAAACTTTGTATTATGTTCTTCATTTCGGAAATTGTATTCTTCATTTCCTCTTGTCCCTTGCTGATATTTTCTTTTTCCTTTTTCATGTTGATGTAGTTGGCAGAGAGATCATTGTAGTTCCCCTGTAGTTTCTGATAGCTCATTGTGAGCTGTTTGAACTTCGTAGTAACCAGTGCTTTGAATTCACTATGTGATAGTTGATTAGCCTCCATTTCATCTAACTTTCTTTCTGAAGTTTCTTCTCTTTCTTACATTTGGGGATTGTTTCTTTGTCTTCCCATTTTTTGAGACTTTCCTATTAGTCTCAGCTTCTAAAATTGATATGTTCTGACTCCCTGGTTTTATGGTGTGAACTTCTGTGGTATGATACCTGTGAAGTTTAGTGGTGCAGACTCCTTCAGGTATGTTGTTCTCCGTCTCCACTTACTCTCATGCTGGTCCCCGCATTGGTCCCTGCGCTGGTCGCCTACCACTGCTGAGTGTCCTGCCTCCTGTAGCCAACTCCTCCAGCACCCAGGCTCATTGCTACTGCAGTGGCACAGGGGTCGAGAGTGTCCCAGCTCCCGTAGCTGACTCCTCTTGGCGACCAGGCCCATCACAGGGACCTCGAGTGTCCCGATTCCCCTACCTGACTCCCTGGTGTCCTGTCCCGTTGCTATGGCAGCGGCACAGGAGCCAAGAATGTCCCTTCTCCCATACCTGACTCCTCTGATGCCCAGGCCCATCATAGGGGTTTGGAGTGTCCGGCTCCCATAGCTGACTCCCCGGCACCCAGGCCTGTCTCTATGGCAGCGGCACAGGGGCCTCTAGTGTCCTGGCTCCCGTACCTGACTCCCAGGCATTCAGTCCCATCGCTATGGGGGCGGCGTGTGTCCCAGCTCCTGTAGCTGACTCTGCCACTGTCTGGTGTTTCAGCGTTGGTCACAGTCTCTGGTTTTTTAATTTCATAAATGCTGGGTAACCGATGGTTTATTGTGCTGTTTCTCTACAGATCTGCCAGGATTTTTACCCACAAGTACAGGAGCTAGAATCCGCTTCACCCTACTACATTGCCATCTTCCCAGCCTCCTAAGGCTGTACCAGTTTACATTTCTCAAATTGCACAAGGGTTCCAATTTTTCTACATCCTTTCAATGTTTGTTATTTTCTGGTTTTGTTGTTGTTACTGATAGTAGGCATCCTAGCAGGTATGAGGTGATACCTCATTGTGGTTTTTTATTTATATTTCCCTAATGACCAGTGATGTTAAGCATCTTTTCATGTGCTTGCTGGCCATTTGTATATTTTCTCTGGATGAATGCCTATTCAAGTCCTTTTCCCATTTTAGAAACTGATGTTCATTGTTTTTTCATTGCTCTGACTCTTCTTTGAGTTGCAATTATGACATACTCTATTACTTTGCCCCACTTGTGAAAACTGTGATTCAGGAATGTTAGATGGCTATTAGGGAATAGACGCAGAGGTGCTGGGCCATATCTGCATATACTATGTAGTCCTGGCTGGGTGTCAAGTACCTTCAGACCTATGACTAACCCTCTAATTTGTATTTCTGGAAATAGACAAGAGTGTTATTTGAAGCAAATTCTTGAGTTGGACATGCATTGGTCCATAAAAGTTTTTATTGCCTTATCTCAAAACCCACAGGAAGTAGCTTTCTAAAAGGAAAGTTATCCCTGTGCTTGGGTCAACTTGTAGAAGTAAGTTTCAGTTTTGTCATATGGGAATTACTGAGCTATATAGAGATATGCTCTCTGTATAGGAGAGGTCAAGACTCAGGAGGTACAAACTGCAGGTCACATGGAGAATTTTCAGTTTGGTTGTGTCTGACATTTTATCATTTAGTAATCATCTATTTCATGCCTAAGAGCCAGGTATTTGGCTAAGGAGGTAAGAATAAAATTGCAACTTGGTCAAAGTTAAGTCAGTCTAGTTTGTATCTATCAAATTCCAGAGCATAGAGAAATATTAGAAAACTAGATGCAGAAATATTAACCAATAATCTCTGACTCCTGCTCCTGTCTTACACCACAATATTTGCTTTGATTTCCTTCTTTGGCAGTTTAGTTAGAAATTATGCTGGCTGATTAAAATATGCCATGTTGGAAAAAGCAAGATAAATGAAAACATAATTTTTCTTTATTACTTAAAAAATATGCAATTAAATCAAATGCTGCTTCTCCCCATCTATAGAACACAAAGCACCTATGGAGTTAAAGAAAGTGTTTGCTGCTCAGAATGATTGTTTTGGAGACTTGATCATAATTAGCTTATAAAATGACTAAATAAAATAACATTTGAAAGCTTCCAGCAACGTTAGTGTAGTAGGCTGTTTTCTTTCTTTTCTTTTTTCTTTTTCTTTAATTTTTTGTGCCTACCCATGAGAAAAAGAGATTACTAAGCAAATTAATAAGTAAGCAGGCAAACATGTAAAGTGCACTTTAATCTAAATGATGAGGGGCATTTAGCAGCAGGCCTCTACTCACACAATTGATTTGCTAATTATAAATGAGTCCCATGTAGTATTTAAAGCATTTACAAGAACTTTATAAGCCTTAGAGTTCTGCCCCCCCCTTCTATTTGTAGCAATATGACTGCAATCCTTAAAGAAAAAGACCAGTATTGCTTTTTAAATGTTATACTAGTCAGACTATTCATTTACTTAAATCATCATCCTTTCATTTGTCCCACTCTCCTTTGATTGAAAACCCTGAAGCTAGGACAGGAAAGCAAAACAGGAGGACATGACACCCAAGGTCTTTGCCATGCACACTGTGATTCAGCTGCAGCAGACTCCTTGTCAGCCCTCAAACAAGCAGTTCCTTTGGCCTGAGCACTGGCTTGTGCTGCATCTTTATGTGATTAACCCCTGCTCTTTTTTTTTTGCAACCAAGCTCATAAACCTCATTGCCTTCTCTGAGCCACCATTTCCAACACCTGTAGGTACCTTCTCCCTCTCTGTGTTGAATTAATATCACACTCTGCTCATATCTGTTAGAGCCCTAATCACATTATATGGCCATAATGTATTATTCACAAGTCTATCCAGTGGATTATGAGCTCCTGAAAAACAGGGCTTAAAACACACATACATCTCTTAACTTTCCCACCTCTCCATAAATACCTAACATAGTTCTTGGCCCAGTAGATACTCAGAAAATATTTGGCAAATGTTATTGTTAGGATCAGGAAGATAAATGGCAGTGTGGTCTAAAGGGGAAAATTAGATCAAAATGGGCACTCTTAAGTAAAGAAGAAAACAAATAGAGATTAGGAGAAAGAGGTAAGTAAGAGAGGATGGAAATAGAAAAACCCAAGAAGGAAACACATAGGAAGCGGAGGAGTCAAGAGGTGAAACACAGATGCTGGGAAGCAAAGTAACACTGAGAAAGGGAACAATGTGAGGTGTGTGAAATTAGGGCAATAAAACTAGTCATCACTTTTTATCAGATACTTTTGGGCATTTCTGAAGCTCATCTATCCCCACTTGTCACTAGAAACAAAGAGGGATGGAAAGAAGAAAGGCCAGAGTGGGAAGTGAGGCAGCAAACACTACAGACTATGAAGTTGGCCACTGACTTTGGCCTGAGTCTGGGACTGGCCTGCTCCCTTGGCCTCCCCATCCTCAGCCTCTCTTTTCTAACCAAGGCCTAAGCTTTGTCTCTTCTCTTTTCTACATGGAGGGCTCATATATACACAAGTTATATATGTGAAAACTAATGAACACATGTGTGCATACTTGTTTCCCATTGAGTAGTTTTTACTCTGAAAAGAAATCCAAAGGAGAGTGTCGTAGCAAGCCTTTAGCTATCCCTGCCCTTACTGTGTCAGAGGGGAGCACTTGCATAGTTCCCGGGGGAGGCTGTGGCTCTGGCCTGCAGCCTTGCAAGAGTGATATACCCTGGAGTGCCTCCTAGCTTGCTGAACATATTTACTGTGCATGAAGGGTGAGATATTGTTGTAATGATGCATATAAACATACAGTATTATTTATTGTGTCTTTAAGACAAAATTACTTTCAGACTCACTGAGCTCTCTTCCCCACAGGAGATGTGCCACTTGATGGCTGAAGCCTTTTGGAGTTATTTCTCGGGTAACCAAAAAGTGTCTTGTGCCTATAGAAAGCAGCATGGAACAGTCCTGGATAAAAGTCAGGAGCCCAGGTGGCTATTGTGGGCTCTGCCACTCAGTCTGGGGCTTTTTCTCATCTGTCAAATGGGCATAATCTCGCCCACCTCCTCATTAGGATTACTGTGAGGGTGAAATCACATCATAATGCAGGACCCTGTGACCAACATTTCATAGTTTTCAAGTGATTTCTACCAACATTTTCTCATCTGATTCTGTCAACAACCCTGTCAAATATTTTAATCCTCATTTTACAGATGGAGAAACTAAAGCTCAAAGAGGAGAAGTTACTTGGTCAAAGCCACATAGCTAGTTAACCAGGATGATGCAAATTTTCTAGACACAAACCTGGCTACTCAGTACTATTGGCCTTAGGGCCCCTGTTTAACTTCCCTCAGGTTTCCTCCTTTCCATAGCCTCTGAAGGTGCTCAGTGTAAAGAATTAATTAGCTCTTTTTGTTCCCTCTTTTCCCCTACTTTTTCTGGTCCCTAGAAGAAAACACCAGCAGCCCCGACAAAGAAAACCAGCACTACCTTCAACATCGTGGGGACCACCTATCCCATCAACCTGGCTAAGGACACTGAGTTCTCTACCATCTCCAAGGGCACTGCTTCCAGTGCTTCCTCAACCCCAACAATTATTGCTTCACCCAAGACCACCTATGTGCAGGACATCCCAGCTGAGACCAAGACCTACAACAGTGTCAGCAAGGTTGACAAAATTTCTCGCATCATCTTTCCTGTGCTCTTTGCCATTTTCAATCTGGTCTATTGGGCCACATATGTCAACCGGGAGTCAGCTATCAAGGGCATGATCCGCAAACAGTAGATAGTGGCAGGGCAGCAACCAGAGCACAGTATACCCCAGGACTGTGCATCTACGCACCCAAACCCAGGGCTTCCCTTGATGTGTTTGAAAATACTTCTTTTTAATCCTCTACCAAGCTGTGACTCTCAATTCGTATTTATGAATCTCAATTTAAAAAAATGAACAGAAAAATTACTAGTCTCTTTAACATTGCTGAATGTACTCTCATCAGAACCAAACACTGCCATTTGTCCAGAAGCTCATCTTAGTGTGACAGTCACCCCAGCTGAAGGCACTGCATGTATTTCATTGCACTTTACCCATCGCAAAACAGACTTTATTACCTGTAGTAGGAGCCCTGGCTGTTTAAAGGCCCAGACCAAGAAGTATTGTTGATTGGTCCAGATCAGATGATTCTGACTCAGTAGGGAGCCAGGCAGGGCTGTTCTATGTGGTCCTGCTTACCACATTCCCCATTAGGCATTAGTACTAATAGTAAAGGCAGGTGTCAGTGCTCTCCTCTGAACATGGCCTCCAGCCTCTTTATTGGCTTAGAGGTTAGTGGGGACAATTGCAGCTCACCAATGTCTACCATGTATGGCCAAAACCAATAGAGCAAACTGGGCCAGCCTGACACCAATGTGGCTAGTGCCCTGCCATGTGTAGGCCCTCAGGAAATTAGTATCTTTTTTGGGGGTATATCTCTCCTCCAGGAAAGCTCTCTTCACTCAAGCCTTCAACCCTATATCCAGCTGGACACTGCTTAGTTTGGACTCATTGCTGCCTGCAAACTCATTAGGAAAAGGAGCAAGTATTTTTAAAATTTATACTAAAAAGGTACAAATGGAAACAAAAAAGATCTAGATCAAAGGCTTATACAAATAATTTTTAAGATTAGAGTAGTAGGAAAAGTTATTTCCCTGCCAAGGCAACTAGTCATGTACTGGATGGAACAAGAGATTTGGGCTGGGTGGTAGTTGACACTTGAAGATTTGCTCAGAAGATAAGAGCCAGTGGCAGATGAAAATCAAAATCTTCCTTCCATACCTTCCACATTCCACACCCTAGCCCAGGCCCAAGAACTTTGCTCCCAGTAAGTCAGGGAATTCTGGCCCTCTGTTAATGCTGATTTCAAGAGTGGAGGGGGTGCTGTTAATCAGAGTCTAGTTAATTTTTGAGTCAACTAAATCATTAAGTTTATTACCAGTTTGATAATGTATTATTTAGGGGACATTTGATTTTATTTGTTCTTAATGTGAGTAAAAGACAGTTATAATTATAAAATTTTTATAAGGTAGATAAACTAAGTATTTGACATTTGAGTGACTTGCCTAGACTCCTTACAAGGGTATGTAATATGGAATCATTATGTGCATTTTTCCAAAGGCCAAAATGAAGACAACAAGATTGAGAAGGCAAGTCCACATTAACCTCAGAATCAGCACAGTCTTAACAGGCCTAATGGGTCCTGAATGTGATTTGCTTGGACACCAAAAATATTTTTAGAAAATCACAATGCATTACCCAAGTAGACCAATTTTAATAGTCATGGCTCAAGGAAATGAGATTAAGATGGCAGCCCCAGCCACTCATCCAAAGTATCCTAGAAGTCCAAAGTAAAGTCACAGATAGTACCCAAAACAGATTTTCCATGTGTACCCCTGAACAAAGCTCTTAAGGGATCTATCATTAGATGCTGGTTGCCTTTTCACCTATCCTTTCCCCATCATCTGCTTCCTTGCCATTGCTGGGATAATGCATGCCAGTCCCATTATTCCTAAGACTGTGTCTGTAGGTAAATTCATGACTAGAAGAGTGTAGCATTGTGGATATGTGGGGATGGGGGTGGGGGTGGGGCTGTTAATGATTGTATTAAGGAATTAGAATGGAAGCCTGACCTTTGCCTCTTTGTAGAAATTGTGTTTCCAAATGCTTTGGTGCAATGTTTTGTGGCTGTTTATTAAACTTTCTGACTTGTACTCAGGCTGGAAAACTTTTTTAAATCACTCTTTGCCTAACATAAGTGGTACTCTGTTCTTGGTTTTCACCACCATTCTCATGCCACCCCTATTTTCTACTTTTAACACCAATGGAATATGCTGGAAAAAATGCATATCTCCAGCAAGAGGCCTATTACAGTGATCCAAAATAGAACCCAGGTGAAAACATAGCTTGATTAATTCAGCAGTCTTATTATAAAATATGACAGAGAAGGAAACAGTTGTGTTGCTTCCTCTGCAAAATTCACCCAGTTTCAGGAAACAGTGCTATTTACATTGCAATTCTAAAGGCTTTCCCTTTCCATTGATTACTGTTTCCCTTATGAAATAGTTCCATTAGGCAGAGAGAGAGTGAGTGTCTGGTTGGTTGATCCATGTGTTGGGAAATGTATGATGACCCTTGTTTACTGGAATTAGGAACAATCTAAGAAATAATCTCATGAGATGTGCTTGAGGAAATCATCTGAACCCTAAGGGATGGGAAAAGTCTCATTGGGAGAGCATTTCAAATCATATAAAACATTTTCTTGTGTGAAATAACATCAGGGACTTGCACATTCTGACCCTTGGTGCATGTTCCAGCCCTGTGGTCATCTGATGTATGCCCTGCTGCTGCAGGCATTCCACAGCCTCTGCCCAGTTCCACTATACCCCCAGAAAAACCATGTGAGGCACATATGGCTGCTTCCCTAATAAAAGGTATTTAAGTGTTGTTTCCTTGAGAAGCTTCTGAATCCACTTTGCTTTGAAAAATATCCCTCTAGTCTTGGAAAGCTCCAGCTGTTCTCATCAACACTTCCATTGATGAATTCCCCTAGAATTTGAAACTTATTCAGAGAAATGAACACCTAGATTTAAGCCAGGGCTTGATCCCACCAGAGTTTCTATGTGATATGGGGCAAGCCCCTCCCCTGAGCTGAGGCTTAGTTTCCCCATTAGTAAAATGGAATTCTGATCAGAGCCAAGTCAACACAGTACCCTTTCTAGCAGCTGCCCCAGTGTGCCACTCTACCCCTGAATATCACCACAAAATGGAGCCCCCATAAAGCTCAACCAAGGGCCCTGACCAGTGTGGCTCAGTTGTTTGAGCATTGTCCCATAGAGGGAAAGGTCACTGGTTTGATTCTCAGTCAGGCACATGCCTGGGTTGTGGGTTCAGTCTCTGGTTAGTGCATGAACAAGAGGCAACCAATTGATGTTTCTCACAATAAGCGTTCTCTCCCTCTCTTCCTCCCTACTCCTCTTTCTAAAATAAATAAAACTTTTTTAAAAAGCTCAACTCAGGAACACAAAAACATCTTCCTTCGGCTGCCTGTCTCACAGCTCAGATGCATTAGCGGCTGCAAAAAAAAAAAGATTTAAATATTAAGTAAGAACAGCAAAGAGGCTAAACCTGGGAATGCAGAGGATGAACACTCAGTTCCAGTAGTGATCTCCTTTATCTCCCCAGCATATGTTTGGCCTGAGATTCATTTGGCAGTATCTTGTGTGAAAAGATGCAGCATTATTAGTTGTCCAGGTCCAGTCCCAGCATGGGTAAAGTTTGGTTCTAAATTGAGAGTGCTAATGAAGTATTGATGTTGGGCAGAGGACTCCAGGTAAACCAAGAACACAGATCAGGAACAAAAAATATCTCCCACTTTGTTTCTTCTCCAAAAGTTCAGCTTAAGGAAGAATGAAAACCCTCAGAAGGGCACTCCCTAAGCTTTTCTGTCACTAACTCAAAAGAATTCATGATATCTGCACGTACCACTTCTGCCTTCCCTTCTTTCAGACAAAAGGTGGCCTCCCTTCTGGCTGAGACCAGTCCTTCATTTGTTCATACCTGCTTCTGTTTTCTGTAAGAATCCTACTTTTGTTGTCTGCTCTCAGTGAAGCTACTCTTGTTGAGTCACAACTGCCCTAGTTACTAAAATATAAGACATTTTTCAGTTATCTTACTTGATCTGTCAGCAGATTTTGATACTGTTCACAATAAATTTATTCTTTGGTTATCATGACACCACAATATCTTGATATCATTTTTTCTTGCTACCTTTCTGTTTCTTATGTTTTTCTTATTTAACTTCTTCATCTCTTAAAGGCCAGAGGTACCACAATGTTTTCCTCTCACTCTGCACACTCTCTAAATGATCTCAAATGTCTTGATGACTTCAGTGATTGTATCATTCCATTGTTGTTTGTTGTATAACAAACCACCACCAACTTTAGTGCCATAAAATAACTACTGTTAATTATCTCCATGTGTCAGGAATGTGGACGGGGTATATCAGGGATGACTTACATCTGCTCCACAATGCCAATGTCTTCATAAAGGAAGACTGAAACAAGTGGAGATGACTTAAATACTGAAACATCTGATGATGGAGAATCCACTTCCAAGCTCCCTTGGAAGGGGATTCTATGGAGAGTTAAAGATGTGTAGTTGCCCAGCCTTCAGTCTTGTTCAGCTGGGAAAATACTGGGGACTAACCTGAGATGATAAAAAAGGTTATGGATGCCAGACCAGTGGAGGGATTCTTCACGTGTCAGGCAGCTGAGTAGTAATGGTTGAAGGACATATTCAACTACACATGGCCTTTCCTAAACAAAAATTACATGATCATATCAATAGATGTGCAAAAATTATTTGATAAGGCACAGCACCCATTTACAATTTTTAAAAAAACCAACAAAGTGGGAATAGAGGAAGAATTCCTCAACCTAATAAAGGCCATATACAAGAAATCTACGGCCACCATCATACTCAATGGACAAAACCCAAAAACTTTCCCACTGAGATCAGGAACAAGACATGGATGTCCACTTTCACCACTTATATTCAACATAGTATTGGATGACCTAGCCACAGTAACCACACAAGAAAAAGACATAAAAGGCATCCAAATCAGAAAGGAGGAAGCAAAACTGTCATTGTTTGCAGATGACGTGATAATGCACATAGAAAATCCTATAGACTCCACCAAAAAACTACGCAAGTTAATAAGTGAATTTGGGCAGACAGCAGGATACAAAGTCAATATTTAGAAGGCAGAGGCATTTTTGTACACCAACAATGAAATATCAGAA